CTCATCAAAAATATATTAATAAAAAAAATTGTTCCATGTCTACTCTATATGAAACAAACTTAACATTATGGTTTTATTAGGTATGTGTAATTCATGGTCCTGGGTTGTAGGGAACATACAATCTAGTTGAGTTTCTGGATTTTACATCTCTATAACATTTACCTAACACCCTTAGGAATTATGTGATAAATACTAAAACGGTCCTGATCATGTGAGAGTTCCGGGGAGGAAGTTCAAAGAAGGGGCACTTTAAACTGAGATGCTCTGTCTATGGGGGTGGAATTTGAGTTGGGTCCAGAAGTTGAGCAGCATTTAGAAAGAAAAAAAAAAACAGAAGCGAGAAAAGGTATTTCAGGCAGGCATATTTACAATGAGCAAAAGGAAATATGTTTGTTCTATATTTAGAGGACGATGTAATGAATAGTTTAGTAATGAAAGATATAAGTTGTAAGGTTGGTCATGTAAGTTGGATTGTAGAAAACTATAAATATCAGAGTCTTAGACGCTGGGAAGCCAGCAAAGGATTTTGAGCTTGATAGTAAGTATAAGATGTCCAATTTGGACTGAAGAGAGATTGGAGGCTGGGTATTCAGTAAAGACTCATTAGAGTAAATAGATTTTAAAAACCTTAGCATTGGAAGTGCCTTCCTTAACCAACTAGATCTCATTTAGGTAGAAGAGAAAATTGGAACTCAAATAGGTAAAGAAAAATTGCTTAAGAACATGGTATAAGGTTTTTCTTTTTCTTTTTAAATTTTATTTTATTTTTAGATCACAAACGTATAATTTCAAAAGCATTTTGTTAACCTTAAAAATGAGTTTAAAAGTCTGAGTTAAGGGCAACACTACGAGATACTGACGTATATTTTTGGGCTAGAAACACATTAAAGGGCATAGTTTTAATGGAATTGATTTAAAAACTCAAGACTTTGCCATTCAATAGGCTGTTTGTCTTAGATATTAAAGCATCCTTTTAATTTAAGGAAAATTGTATGCTAATAAATAATTCCTAATTATATTGCATTATTTGATAACCAGTGTTATTTTCATTATGTTAAATGGTAGCAGTGAACATGAGAGTGATGCCTCATAGTTCATTGATAAACTATTATTTTATTGCTGGATTTATCACTAAGACAGCTTACATCATTTTCACATCATTTAATAAAGTCAACATGTTTTCAAGGTTATTGACATTTCTGTTGATTTTGAGTGGATTTTAATGTTTCTTTGCACTTGGGTAGGAACTGACAAATCTAATTAAAAGACAATTGCTCATTTCCATTAAGCCACCATGAAATATGGATCATAATAGTCCGAGGTGAACAATGAGAAGAATAGTGATAAAACCTGAAAAACCAACCCATCTGCTCAAGAAATTTCCTTACTACTAATAATTTTTATCCATTATTTAACTTCTTTTGAAATATGTGATACTTCCCAGTGGCCAAAGGCCACCAATGGAGATCAACATATTAAAAAATCAGTTGAAGCTTTGTATGCGAAGGAACTGCTGAGCTAAAGCCAGCCCATTTTTGTAATATCTTAATCAATAAAGGGAAAATTTTTAAAAAAGCAACAAATAAAGCTGTGTATGTCTTAGAAAAAATAAAAAATCAGTTGAAATTTAACTTTTGGAAAAAGTTGGTTTAGAAAAATATTCCAACGTTTCTACAATGTTGTAAAACTTCTTATCATTTAAAGAAAAAAATCTTATAAAATTTGATGTGCCTTTATTTAACACAGAGTTTCAATCTGCCCTTAAATGTAAGGATGTTGGTCTATAGGCAGACATTTATTTATGTGTTTATTCAGTTTATTTATCCAAGGAATGCTTATTGAGTGCCTAAGTAACTGTGATATAAGGTAAAAAATGAAAAATCCAAAAAAGATATGTATGGCTAGAATGCTAATAGGGTCAGCATACCTTTGCTCTAAAATTCATAGTTGGGGGACTAGGAACTTTTTACATAAGCTCCTGTGAAATTATTGAAGTCCCTCAATTCTTTCACCAGGAAAGACCAGGTACATTTGCACTGTTGGTACACACTTAAATGTAAGTGTAATACCTGAAAGTATAGTCGGAGAATATGTAAAGAAATTATCAAGGTCAATGCCCAAACAAGCTACTAGTTCACAATGATTTCTCTCAGTCTTTGCACGTGTCACTGTAGCTAACATCAAATGCTTCTACCGTTTTTTGCTAGATTTGGAATTTAGGAGAAACAGTATAAGGATAGTTTTGATTCAGTCCACTGTGTTGGACTTGAAAATTAGTAGTTTGGGGGGTATACATGTTAACTGTGTTAGAAAGATAGTTGTGTACAAGTGGAGGATTGTAGGACTTGTTGTCTTCTAGTTTTTATGCAAATGTGGATGAAGGTTCTGAATCTATGGAGTGCATTAATTCCCTACCTCCCAAACAGCTTAATCCAAGGAAATTCACAATTAAACCCCCTGCGTGTGTGGGGGCTTGCCTGTCTGTATGCATATGTGCATGTACTTCCTTAGACAAGCTGCAGTAAGTTGAGCGTCCTCAATGAAGGGCTTTAGTGTAGTTTCTTTAGGGTTCCATGTCTCGGTTGCTGGGATTTTTTTATTCAAATAACGATTATACTGACAAGGTTTTGTGATTTAATTATGGCAAATTCATTTCATTACTTTTATTTTATTTTAATTTCCCCTTTTCCCAACTCTCCCTCCTTCCTTCCCATCTTTTGTCTTTCTTCCTCGCCCC